GCTTGTAGAAGTAAAGGAAAAACACATTAATGGTGTAAGAAAAAACTATACAAACTGGCCTGGTTAGGCAAATGTACAAAATAAAATAAATAGCGAATTGCTATTAGTCAAAAATACAAGAGTTTTAGAGTAGCTTAAAGAATTTAAACTTTAAAAATGAAGGAAAAACTTTAAAATTAAAACTAAAAGCGAATTAATATGGATCTTGCTATGACCAAATATTAAAATAAGGGAAAGAAAAAAAGTTTAAAAACAGACCTTGATCGGCGAGGTTCGAGTCCCGGCGAGGTCATTGCTCACGTCTACAGCATCAAAATAACTTAATGACTCTACGACTATTTACTATTTAATTATGAGCGTGTTAATTTTGTTCGAAATGTTAAGAAGTAGCAATGTTTTTAAATTGAATCGACTGCTGCATATATCTGAATGAAACAAAGCTATGTAAAAATTATATTAACAAACTCTTCTATATGTATTGGAAGACCTATATATCAGAAAAATCAGTTTAAGTGGCAAAATCCAAATGTTTACCTTAAATATCAGCATTCATGTTTGAAGAAATAATCTGTTTAGTATTTGCATCAAGAAAATTTACATAATATTGAATAGAATTTTTTATGTCTTCTTATTGGTATTACTATTAGCACAGCTTGAGGTGAAAATGGCTGATGAACATTTTGAGGTATTAAATAATCGCGAACTTGCGCTAAATGTGGTAATCCTGGAAGATTACACGAGCAGTAGTAAGAAGAGACAACAGCTATTGCTGCTAGTAAGATAAATAAGATAAGATAAGTAATAAGCTAGTAAGATATTCAACATAACGGCAATAAAAGTTCTGCACATAATTAACACGAAAGTAACACTTTTTAAATCTAAGGTACAGAGCAAAAGTCATCCAGACACAGAGCAAGAGCCTCTGATAAGTAGGCATAAATAAGAGGCATAAAATAACCCATATATATAGTTATAATGAACTCTTACTCCGAAGGCTATTCCGCGAGGTCGAAACTACCAAGGATAACCTTTAAAATTATTTAACATGTAACGATCAGGTAGCCATGAGACAGCATTGATCCCAGTCCTAATCTATTAAAGAGCTTCGGTCCCTGTCGAGCCTGCTTGGAGCTACATATGGATGTTGTGAGTTGCCAGATCGGGGGTGGAAAAAATTATTTTTCTTCTTTCTCAGTATGTTATATTGAGTTTATATACTCACTTATTTCAAATTAATTAAGATAAAATAGATTACTTTGACAGTAACATATTGCATTTTAATATTAATTCGAAAATTAAAACACAGATAGGAAGCTATATTGCACTTTAGTTCATCATACAATGGCTGAAGATATTATTTTGAATTTATTTTACGTTCTGATCCACGTGTACTGTATTCAACAATAAGCAAGCTAGGCTAAAACAGAATAGTATTTTTCTTAACAGAGGTTCTACTGTGTTAGTGTCGAGCATAAACTAAGAGAATAAACTATTTTCTTTCAGGTATCTGTGCAGCAGCAGGCATAGATCACCAAGTTTCATCTGGAAAAGCCTCCTTTGCCACTGAATTCTGTGCATCACCGGGATGTCACGATGCAGGTAATATTACGAATTTATATATATACACTGATAAAGGTACAACCTTTCTTCACATCAGGAACTGTTGAATTCGTAGTATTTCAGAACACACTGACAGCACTACATAAATAAAAAGTCACAGAAAAGTTTTCTTTTTTTTATTAAAGAATGAGTAACTTTTTATTCATAGAAGTCGTCTTGTTTATTTAAAGCGTTTTCGCTATTCTGCGGAAACTTAAGTCTTAAGATTTCTGAAACATACTTCATGACAAAAACACAGTAATAAAATTATGTTATAAGTTCACATCGAATTTTGCTGTAATGCTACGTTTTAGCAATATGAATCCTTTGCTTCAGATGAACATGAAACACCTGGTGTTTCTGAGACTAGAATAATTTTAATAATAAAAAATTGAACTTAATTTAAGATGAAATTTTCAGCATAGAACTTATTATGTATTTCTTTGAGTAAATACATATATAATAATATTGTATAATATGTTTATAGTAATATAAAAACATTTTTAATTATGTAAATTAAAATTAAGGAATTATGTTTCAATTGAAATAGAAATATAGTTAAGATGGCGTTGTTCCCTGGGATCTCTTTCTCTAGACTGAGATAAAAATACAACTCATTGACAATTATAAGTAATACGCGATACTGAAATTAAGTATTGGATTTCCCTATCTCTGCATTATAAGCCTCGAAAAAGTACCTGTTTTCAAACAATACGCAGGGTAAAATAACTTATTTTATCCTACACCAGAAATTGAATATCTTAGGCACCTATTCGTTTTTAAACAGCTGTATGAAAATTGTAGTGAAAGTAAAATTGAGATGGAATTTCGAGATTGATTTTGTCTTGTAAAATTCTTAGTAGCTGAAAAATAGCATTCATTTTCGCATAGTTTTAATTAAATTCCTCAGTCATTTAATGTTTGCATAACTTTTGTCAAAATCATTTAAGTGAGAATTTTATACTTATCTCTAGACTCTAGATTTGATTTCTTTTAAATGTTGTTTTAAAAATAAGTTTAAATATCTTTCAAGAAACAGTTCCCTCGCTTTCGAAGACATTTGGTGAAAGATATTCTGCCGGAACATGAAGACTTATTTGACATTTCCTTCCTTATTCTGTAGCTCTAGTTGACGAAAACATCTTAAAAAATAGGTCTTGCTTATTGCCCTGGGATCTAGAAAATGTTTTTTCAAGCAATACATTGTTTCGTTTTCTTAATTTTCGTTTAATTTTGATAAGAAACTGTAGTTTTATTTCACTGAAAAAGTTTTGAAATTTCGTAATACAATAATTTCAGCATTTCGTACCCAATTAATTGTATCGAATCTTCGTTAGCATTTGAGGATTTTCTAAAAAGCTTTGTCACAAATAATATACGACCAGTTTGTGGGATGTAGTCTTCCTTGCTAACATGCAATGTAACTAGATCTACTTAAAAGTCTAAGTTGCGACTTCTCGCAAGGACTCGACTACAACAACAGAATGGCGTAAACTGAACTCAAAGGAAACTAGCAGTGCAAAACTATATAATTTGATTTAACCTAACAAGTTGACTCAGAAACTCACACCGGCAGTATAATAATTTCGGCGGCAAGAATGCGAAGCCGATATTTAAAATACTTGGGTATCATCACTGATAAAAATCTTAACTTTATAAACCATGTAGACTCTATTAGAAGCAAGACCTCCAAATTCATAATCAATCTAAAGAGAATGAACGGAATGAGATGGGGACGAGCAACCAAGTCCAAAACTCCTCTAGAATACAGTATGGACAGAACCGATAACGAAAATAAAGAAAAAAAACTTCATGCAACCCAGAGGCCCTTTCTTCTCAACGTAACAGGAAGCTACAGAACAACATCAAATAAATACAGCCCTGTACGGGCTGAACAAGAATTTCACAAGGCGGACAGCAAACGAAAAGAAATTCCATCAATTCTATACAGACGGTTCCGGTTCCAGCCTAGAAGAAGGTAAAGGCAGCGTAATGAAAATCTGCCTAGACTCCAACTCGACAACTGAATAAAAGTTCCGCTTATACCCCCCAGTAAAACGGTGTAATCCACGCGGAATCTGTGGCACTCTTGGACGCAATAATATTTAGTTCAAAAATTGAATAACATAATTTCTTTATTTCGTGGTTATACAAATGTGTGGCAACACTGTTAATGGCATAAATATTTTCGTTCGTTTACTGGAATTTTGGTACTTCGCCCGTTTATTGTAGAGTATAAAACTTAGTAATGTGTACTGTTTGTTTAGTTAACGTAAATAAGTACGATTACTTCTAAAATTACTAATTGTTGATTTTATAACAATAGTGCATTTTATATTATACAATATTCGAAATAGATAATGTCACCTTACATTCGGAAATGATTCAGGTAGGTATTTATAAAATAAACTTTTATTTTGATACATTTCCATCTACATTTTAATTAATTTTGGTATTTTATTACTATTATTTTATAATCATCCCAATGAATAGAAACAAAAAAGGATTTTTGGAATCATATTCTGATTAAATAATGAAAATAATATATATTTATAAATATGAAAATAATATATATTTAATAAACATTTTATGAAAAAATTGGTTTGATTTAACTGAAATCCCATACTTAATATTTCATAAATATATATTTTCACATTTTGTTAACTTAGTATCAAAATGTGAAAGCGGTGTAAGTCTATTTGAGGTCTCTAAAAGTATAAATTTATTTTAATTAATACTTTAAAACCGATCACATTATAAATTTAAATTAATTTAATATTTAAAAAACATAAAATGAGAGCATTAATATATACCAATATTTTCAAACCATTCATTCACAAAACCTTAAATATTTCCATATAATATAAAATAGACTTTCACCACTTTCAAAGAATACGGCTCATTTTTCGTTGTCATCCCTTGAAGCTCCGAAGCTGATGAAAAAAATTTTAAGTACAGAACAGTATGATATTCAAGACAAATATGAAAAACTGATCTGCCTTCTTAAAAGTGAACTCATGCTTGGAATTTTTTAAAATGCTTTTTTTTTTTTTTTTTTTTTTTTTGGCGGGGGTACATTTTTATTAGCATATTTTCAGTGAGAGCTAAGAGTTTCATATGAAGAGTGAGAGCTGAAAAACTGGAGCTTCAAAAAAAGGGGGCGGGGAAAGTTAAAAGCAAAACAGAAGTAATGAAAAAAAAAAAAATCTCTCAAACCCAATCTGGATCGCATTGTCTACGCCAAAGAGCGTCTGCTGTCTTCGACGTTCTATTAGATTTCTCACCCTTGTTCTTACGCAAAAGCGGCTGCGATAAGCCTTAAGGGGGGCACGTGCAATATGGCGGGCTTCTCTATATAAAACACACTGCGTGAGGAACTTTACACTCAAGTGTCTCTAAAATTGACTGAACTCCAAATTCTTCGGTGCCGAAGTTCTTCTTTAAAAAAAGGTGGTAAACTTGAAAAAGACAGGCGGATCCTACGGAACACGGCTCTGCTGCTTCTCCTTGCAAATTTCGTCGAGTCGTCGACCTTAAAAATCTGTTCTTCCTGTTCTTTTCCTACGAGACACCATATATTGCATTTTAAATCGACAAAACATCTCGAAAAGAAAATTCGATTTAAGGACTGCAGACCTGATGTTACGAAACTGTTTTGTTTCTTAATGTCCTTTACCGATTGCATTGAAATGAACAATCCTTAATTTGTTTGGGTACTTTAAATTCTAACTTTTTGTATGCGACACCAAAACACCTCCATGGACTGTAGTAACAGAAAAGGAATTAGTTTAGTTTAAAGTAATTCGAAGGAAGCAAGTATTCTTCGTGGAAATTGTTTTGTGTTACAAATTTCTTCCAACAACAATTTTTTTTTTATTCTCGGTATCCATTGACTACTAAAAGACATTTTCGTGATTACACGTACAAGAAACTTATATGTTACAGGACACAATGTCTTTAGCAATCCAACTCAAGCATTTTCTGATACTTATTATGTTTAATGTCTTGGTAATTGCACCAAGAACAAATGCTTTTGTAGCAAAAAATATGTTCCTCGGAAATGAATCAGATTCTTCATCTGCAGAAAACTCTAACGAGGTAAATGACGTCCCCTTTGAAGATACTCTTTCTTTTCTGGATGGCTTCGTGACTGTAAATGATGCAGAACTGTCTGATGGAAATGAACCAGTCATCCCAGAAAGGAAACTTTTCAAGAGAAGTACGCAATCCTCTACCGTGCCACAGTACATGTTGGATTTGTATGATTATCTGTTGGATAGGAAGTTTCAGGTGAAATTCGACACTGCAAGGAGTTTTCGTTCCAGTAAGTTTGAAACTACTTTTCTATGCATGAAGAATAATTCTTTCAACGAATATAAATTTATTAATTGTCTTTGAATATATAAATTTAGGACATATTTTTTATAGATTTCCATTACTGTTATTAATGTCACATAATTCTTAGGTATAGCTTTTGATGAACTAAGAAATTTGGTTGTGAAATTATTATAGTTTTTTTTCATTCAACGTGCAAGCAAAATTTTTGAGATTCAATAATTAAGTACACTAAAACCCTTATGAGAAGTTTCCGTTTAAGACAATATCCCGCTTATGAAGTTTATTTAATAAAACCTTCCTGTTTAGATAAAGCTATTTTATATATTTTCCTATTTCGATAATGTTAAATTTCATCGTGTCAAACATTTTTCCGTGATAACTTTCCCCGAAACCTAGAAGATTCTAGATTTCTACCTAGAAGGACAACGTTGTTTTGACAACAACAACTTTTTACCTTTGGACAAAGGTAGAGTTTTCCTTCCTTTGGAATAGAAATCTTCATTAGTTCTTTGTACGAAATAAAAGAACTTCTGTAATCGCTAAAAATTTAGGGTATCATTCTTCAATGGAAATATCCATTTTGACTATTTTTTTTGCGTGACATCTGCGTGTACGGACAGGATAAAGGACTCATTTTTCCAAAACAGATGGTAAAATGGATTAAAAATTAATTTTTTGGGGGGAACTTTTGATGTACATACGTACATATGACTCTCACATTACCGGAAAATAATTAGCCGTAGAACATTCAAATTTTGTATATGGTACTGCTATAACATATAGTTGTGCACCTCCTTCTTTTTTTAGTCGCAATCAGCATTACCAAAAATCCGTATATACCCATTAACCGGCTTAAAATCCGGCTTAATTATATAATAATAATTTAACCGGCTTAAAATCCTTACTAGGAGTTTATTTCTGCAGATGTTGGTCTTATATATTTCCAATTATAGAAGTGTTTTAAGTGACGAAAATATTCATGTTTTGGCAATATAAAATTAAAAAAAAAAGTTTTGACAAATAATGTAACCTAACTTTTCATGCGATCTACCAGTTCTTATATTTAAGAATGTTTTATATTCGTAATAAAAAATAAAATTATAGGAAGTTTGAATCCCGTACGACAAAAACTGGCCGTGATATTTAACTTCAAAATTTGCAGTTTTTGATATCATTTTCAACTTGGCTTGAAGTATGGGTTAATTAATTAATCAATCAGAATAATTCTATGAAATAGTTTAAATGAAGTGCAGCAAAAATTTGTATAATTTAATAAGTCGTGCAAGGCACATATGGTATCCGCATCCGATTTTTTTTAAAGAAATTCTTACTGAATATACTTATTTTTCCTTTGAACTAAAGAAGAAGTCATGAATTTGTTTTCGCACAGTGATGACTTTTTCTGTTGTGGTAAACTAATTTTCGACCGATCATATAACACATACATAACGGCTGGCTACACTGTTAGGCCAATTAGGCATTTCACATGGTGAGAAAGATAGCCAACTTTCGATCCATTTTCATTCGCTTTTCTTCTACACAAAATAACATGCAAATGAAGATTATTCACTTTTTCTGTCTCTTTGAAAATAGTATCGTCTATTTCTGAGATATCAGATTATAGTTTCACAAAATAAATTAATGAATAAAAATTCTAATTAATGAAAATTTGACAGAAAACATGTTTAAAATCTATAAAAAATTCTGGTAAATTTTTTCATATTTAAATAAAATTCAATTAATTGAGTTCTAAAATAATTTAGTTGAAATAGTAATTTAAAGTATTAAGTTTTCAAAATTATAATTTAATTGAAAACAAAATTTGATACGAATTACTTACATTCAGTTTAAAGCATAGTAATTTTTAGCTCTAAGAGTATTAATTTTCAAGTGTTCGTCTTTTTCGAAGAGAACAAGCAGAAATTTATAACTTTACTTATGTTGAGAAGTCTTAATATAAATTAATGAGGTCCACTAGAGGCAGAGCAGTAAAGTCGCTGAACAGTGCTAAATCGGCATAAGTTCTTTTCTAGGCTAACAGGCTGGCGGCATAAGCATTTTAAAGATTTTTCCAGTGAGTAACGTGGATCCGAAACAATTTCCCTTAGAAAGTCACCACGAAGGCATCCCTTCCCTTAGGCAAAGAGCCTTTGCATGCTTTGCCATAATCATGTATAGCAAACTTTAATATAAATTGGAATTATTTAGTCATAGTTAGGTATACGATCTTGCAGTTTCTACTAAATAGCTTGTCAATAGGTAAAAGATTATGTTAAAACCCTCTAACCGTATATATACGGCCTTGGTTATAATATTCCAGGCAGTTTATATTTTTGGTGATATTTTTATAAGAATGTATATAAACGTGCATATTAAAATATGTCAAAGAAATTAAGCTTTTATATTAAAAGCACACAAATTCAGGTATAAAAATGCCAGGAGAATTTTTACATTAAAATCAAGAATATAATGTATTCTCATAGTAGTTTTGGGAAATTTCTGTTTTCTTTGCGAAAACACTGGCCGGTCAGAGTGTTAAGTTACATTATCTGAATATAACAAGGTATGCGAGAGCTATATACCTAAGGAGACTCATAAATTCGCCACACAGCCTGTCCGTTGGCCTGGGCTCCAACGCAAGCAGAATTATCAGTTTTCAACTGTAATGAACTCTCAACTTCTGGTGACGCAGTTAAAAATAAGAAAGGAAATTAAAAAATGGACATTATTCGAAATGGAATTAAAAAATGGACATTATTATGTTCGCGATTGTGTGTCCTGGTTTTCCGAAAGCTCAGTGTTAGACCTACCTCGTATAGCCTCCGTTTAGAATTTAGAGAAGCTTGGGGGGTGGCGATAAAAGAATAGAAACATAAACATGTTTTTTATTATGCTTAATAGACTAAGCAAGAATTAGTAATTTTTTCAGTTGAACTCTGTAGAGATCTAGATTAACGTTTGTGAAATACAAAAATATTTCAGTCGAAGATATCCACTAAGTTCCATTATATCCGATTATGCTTTTGTATATGGACTACTTTAACATGTAGTTGTGCACCTCCCTTTTTTATTGCAATCGGTCGCACCAGAAGTATATAAATACAGATGTATTTACTAACTGTGTTATCCCTCTCGGTAAGTTTACTAAATATAATGTGCAATTTAAGTTTTAAATGCTACTAAGCCTAAACTGTACATTTTTTGCTTTAGTGGTTAAATTGTGTTGTTCTTATGTTCCGGTTAAGGTTCTTATGTCTTTAGGTACTCTGCATACAATAGTTGTAGAATTATCAACAATTTAAATGTTCTTTAAGCGCTGCTAAGCGTAATACAGCAGCCATATTTGTTTACATTTGAAACTTAGCAGAATGTTGAATTCATTCAGTTTCTGCACCTTCAGTGGTCTTTTTGCCGAGTGGGATCAAACGTAAACTTTCAGTTTTGTGCACAAAAATAAATAAATAACTAAATCTGCCTTCTATCTTGCTGGCCGGATTGCTCGTTTTTGCGTAGAGACTCTAATTTAATTTTAGTTGTAAAAATTTTTTAAGTGTTTTAACTGTATTTGGTGTTTTAAGTTTTTGTTTTATAATTTTAATGAAGATGTTTTGAGTTTATATCTCTAATGAAATTCGTTGAAGTAAGTTTAAATGAAATGCAGCAAAAAAACGTGTATAGTTTAATAGATTGCACAAGGAAGTCATGTGGTGTTCACATCCGATTTGTTCATTTCAAATTCTATAAATATCTCATATTTTAATTTTAACTTCGAAAGGCTTAATAATATTTCATTAAAAGAATCCCAGTACAATTATCTGCACTTAACAACACGTTTCAAGCTCAGCTTTCAGTTTCACTCAGTTTATAAGCTGATTATACAAGAGAAAGCAATTGGTTTCTAAATTAAACAAGTAAAATAATTGATTGCGTTTGATAAATTCCGCCACAAAAGTACGCTTCATGGGAGAGTTTAGACTCGATTTTACTATAACAATATGTAGCATAGCCCCATCAAATGTGTATGTTAATTGTCCCATTTAGGTGCAAATGAACCTTATCTCCCCACAGAATTCTCCAAGGCCAAGCATCTTCGATCTCCGAGCAAATGCCACCCGTTTATTAGAATCATTGCGTTTTATAATTTCTGCAAGCGGATTATCTTGCATGAATAGAAGTAAAGGACTTTCCATAAGATTTGCCATGCTGTTGTAAGACTCAAATCCAGTTGTCGCGCTATTCTCCAAGCTCTGCTTACTGCCAGCAATGGTCCCATGTGTATATATACTTTTTGTTTTGGGAATATACTTTTTGTTTTGGGTAGTATACGGTAATTATTTTCCCGATTAATTTTTAAAATGCCAATAGCGTTATTTTTACTGTAATATTACTGATCTAAAGTATACACTGCTGTTAATTTAAATGTATATGTTATTGCATATTTACATAACTATTTCATTTAATCTGCTGCTGCTTCATCTCTTTATTCATCAAATCGAAAAACAACTTACTAATAAATTAAATTACTCTAAGGAATTTCATTTTTTGATGTTGTACATGTAGTGCTGTATTAAAATAATTCGGTACTATTTGGTTTTGAGGGCCGTAAAAAATCGCCAAACTATTGTTGATGCCAGTGCTGCAAAAATAATTGCGGCAACCCTAACGCAAGAAAGGAAGCATAATAGAAAATAACTAAGATTGATGTTTTAATTTAGATGAAAGGTTAATTTCATATAATACTTTTTTATTATTGTAATTTATATAAAAAAGGCTAAACATGACTGTATGGAAGCATAAGAGTAAATAACTATTTCAGATCATTATTATAATTTATATAAAAATTGCTAAACATAACTGAATGGATGCCTGCATCGTTATTTCGCTACCGACTTATCGCTAGAGCATAATTTCCTCCCGTTGGTTGTTCAAACGTAATTTTCTATAATGAACGATGCCTTTTCTTTGAAAAAAATTCTCGGTGAAGTG